CACTGACATGTCACAACCCCTGCACTGTCACCACACTGACATGTTCCAGCCCCTGCACTGTCACCACACTGACATGTTCCAGCCACATGCACTGTCACCACACTGACATGTTCCAGCCCCTGCACTGTCACCACACTGACATGTCCCAGCCCCTGCACTGTCACCACACTGACATGTCCCAGCCCCATGCACTGTCACCACATTGCTGTCGTCCAGCCCCTGCACTGTCACCACACTGACATGCCCCAGCCCCTGCACTGTCACCACAGTGACATGTTCCAGCCCATGCACTGTCACCAAACTGACATGTTCCAGCCTCTGCACTGTCACCACACTGACATGTTCCAGCCCCTGCACTGTCACCACACTGACATGTTTCAGCCCCATGCACTGTCACCACACTGACATGTTCCAGCTCCTGCACTGTCACCACACTGACATGTCCCAGCCCCATGCACTGTCACCACACTGACATGTTCCAGCCCCATGCACTGTCACCACACTGACATGTTCCAGCTCCTGCACTGTCACCACACTGACATGTTCCAGCCCCTGCACTGTCACCACACTGACATGTTCCAGCCCCTGCACTGTCACCACAGTGCTGTGTTCCAGCCCCATGCACTGTCACCACATTGCTGTGTTCCAGCCCCATGCACTGTCATCACATTGCTGTGTTCCAGCCCCATGCACTGTCATCACATTGCTGTGTTCCAGCCCCATGCACTGTCACCACACTGCGATTATTCCCCGTCTAAAACATGTAGACCATAATAGTTGACTGTTACTGAAGCTTCTTTTTAATTACAGTGTCTCATTGAATAGTTAAGCTCTCTATCCATTATCCCACTTCTGTTTTAAGCCCCCGCAATATTGAAGAAAACATCAAAATGATATATTCTCTCTTTGAAATTTGTTGTGTGCACTCAAAATCCATGGAAACGATTGATAACAAAGTAACCTGTATAAGCTGCAATCCCATCCTAAGGATGCATGAGTAAACGAGAGTAATGAGCAGTTTCCCGTTTTTGTCTTCTTTGATCCTTTACATAGTTGATCTTTTATTTGATATTTAATGGAACAGACATCTCGCAGTCGTAATGCTTAGGGTGGGTTGTCTGCTGTGGTGGTAATATAGGATTAGGATGTACACACAGGTGAACTTATAGTTGGCTTCAGTAAGTTTACACGCGCACGCACGCACACGCAAAGGCACGTGCACACGCACAGGTATACAGGTTCATTGTCACCTAGTACAGTACAGTGCGCAAGCGGGGCCGTGGTCCGTGAAATTTCTTAGGAGGTTCGTGAATCAGCTGAGTAATGATGAGGGTGCGGGCAGTAAACGTGTGTAGCGAGGCATCGGTGGGTATGGCATGGATGTTTCACGCATGGCCGCGTGAATTATGCGTGAATTTTTACTTGTATTATTTATATACTTGTTACTATCTACTTGTATTGTATTGTTTCGTGTAATATATCCCGTAGCTCCTGCACTATTAGGCTTTTTATTTGATTAATTTTTGAGATCTAGGGAGAAGAAGAAGCTCCCCTTGCTCTCTAGGGGTATACGGTGCTGGCGTGTGTTAAAGGGGTACATTACTCTAGGTTCATTGCTCCCCACAGGGTTAAGCTTGCAAATTTCTGCTTGTAGCCGATGGAACAGGCGCCGCTGCGTGACAGTGACGTCATCATTCTGACGGGACTCACGCAGACGCCGACGACAAACCCGGACAGCATGATCGGCGAGTTCTGTGTCAGTGCAGGTGCGTGTTCCACAGACGCGCTGCTGCTGCTGCTGCTTGCTGCTGCTACTGCTGCTGCTACTGCTGCTTGCTGCTGCTACTGCTGCGGCTGCGGCTACTACTGATGCTGCTGCTACTACTACTGCGGCTGCTTGGTGCTGGTGCTACTAAGCTGCTCAGTGCGTAGCTAAGGATGTTTTCAGTGGGGGGGACGCTGGGGGGGCCTCACATTTCGCTGGGGCACAAGTTATAATTTCTTACTGAGATCGTAGTTCGAACCCTCTTTCTTTTGTGATTCAAAGCTGTTTAACTGCATTGTTTCATTCCACTTTTTTTTCTTATCACGCATAATTGCAGGGTGGCGGGGGCGGAGCTACCTGGGACAGAAATCTTTGCGGGGCACGTCGCCCCAAGTGCCGCCCGCCCACGTAGACTTACGCCCTGCTGCTGTTGTCAGAAACATGTAAACTCATGCTAAAGTACTGCTAAGGATACCACACTACTAGAAATGTAACTGTCTGAAGACTTATTTTGTTATTCCTAACAAACGCCTGAACACCCACCATGATCAGCAAAAATGAGAATAGCAGAACATGCATAGCAAACTGACATAGCAGAACATGAATAGCAGAACATGCTATGCGGCGAGAACCTTACGTAGCAACTATGAGCGTGAGATAGTAACATGATCGTACCACGAACACTGACTAGCAGCAAATGACAATAGCAAGAATAATAGCTGCAAGCAAAAAACCATGGAAAACAGATAAAAGAAATAGCAAAATGCAATGAATAGCCAAACTGCGCATATAAGCAGACTGGCATCCGGCAGAACATGACATAGCAGAACATGACGTAGCAGAACATGACATAGCAGAACATGACATAGCAGAACATGACATAGCAGAACATGATGGCAGGAGACACTGACGGTAGCAGAACATGACATAGCAGAACATGACATAGCATAACATGACGGAGTGTCGATTGTTGGTCGTTGCAGCTGTCACGCTGCAGAATGGTGGCAACGTTCTCGTGCCGTGCAACTCATCCGGTGTCGTCTACGACTTATTCGAGTGCTTGTCTGCGCACCTGGACAACTCTGGACTGGGACAAATCCCGTTCTACTTCATCTCGCCCGTGGCTCGGGGGAGGGCAGCTCGCGCGATGCGTACTCAAAAACATAAGGTTTTCGAGTGGTGCGTGGAGTGGCGTGTGTTGTGTGCGTGCGTAGCGTGCCATGCGTGAAGTGCGTGTGCGTGTTTTTGTGTGTGTAGTGCGTGTTGTGATTTATATAATATGTTTATGTGTGTGTATACAATCTTATATATATATCTATTATATAATATATAAATATCTAATATATTATAATATACGTATAGGTAGTAGTGAGTATCATACCGGGTATTATATTATATTATGATAACCTGCTATAATACACCCCACAATAGTGCAATATAATGTCCAGTGTTATAGTGACTGTTCTAAATAACAATTTTTCATCAACAGGCTGTCACATAGCAAGCAGAGCAAGGTCTACCTCCCTGAGGAACCGTTCCCTCACGCTCTGCTAGAAAAGAAAGGCAGACTCAAACGATATGCAAACGTACATGGTAATCATGAGTGCTACTCGATGGCGCCATTTGCCCATCATGCTTTCAGTCTTAGGAAAATGAAGGGGATGCATAGAAGCAATGTGACAGTTTGAATGTTTCCCCCTTTCATTCTAATAACATTCGCAGCTCGCCGAACTACTACCGATTTCTTGGCAGGAGATCACACCGAACGGCTTCTCATAAATATGCATGAAGAGTGATAGTGAGAAGTATAGTGTAGTGAGGAGTATTTAGAGAACATGAAGAGATGCTCTCCAGTGAGTCCATTCGAGAGGCGTTCACCTGGCATGAACTTGTCAACTTCCCCTTCCCCTTCCCCTTCTCCTTTCCCTTCTTCTTAACTATACTTCTCCTCTTCCATCATTGTCCTTCCCTTCCCCTTCTCCTTCTCCCTTCCGTTCACTTCTTCTTCCCTTCTCCTTCCCTGTTCCGGACGGGCCCCTCCCCCTCGACTTTCTTCACCGCGTTCCCGGCCTCCCTTCCCCAGCTCCTCCCTGGCCGCCGTATCCGGCATTAGCCGGCTTGCACTCTTCCGCCGCGTCCCGTTGTCGTTCGCCCTTTCCCGCCGCTTCCCCTTTCCCTTCTCCGTTACCTTCCGGCTTCTCCCTTCCGGGTCCTTCATCCCGCGAAATAGTCAAGGTTCCGCATTTCCCGGCCCCCTTCCCCTTTCCTTCCCCTTCTCCTCCCCTTCTCCCCTATTCCATTCTCTCTTCTCTTTCCCTTCCCTTCCTTCCTCTCCTTCCCTTTTCTTTCCCCTTCCCGGACCTCGCCCTTCCCATTCTCCTTCCCCTTCCCCTCTTCATGGTGCAGGGATTTCCTGTTGATTTCCTGTCGCCTTGCAGACATCGCTCACAGTGACTTCCGCATGCCCTGCGTCGTCTTCGCCGGACATCCGTCGCTGCGCTTCGGAGATGCCGTGCATTTCGTCGAGCTGTGGGGAAAGTCGGGCGGCAACACCATCATCTTCACAGGTGACGCGCTTTTACAGGGGTAGAAATTAACTGTGAGTTGTACACTTAAAAAGAGAGTTCGAAGGCAAAATGATCCACAGTCCTGAGATTCTAAAACTGAAAAAGGTATTCATAACAAATTCATCGGCATGTGGTTATTTCGAAGATCTCTAATAGTTTGATAGAATTTAAATAACAGCGCGGGAAACTCTTGTTTCAGTATATAGGAGAATTTTTCAGGAGTACACAACGGACTACCTGCAATATTTCAAAATCACGGAGTCAGACTAAATCAGGGAGTATTTGGCTTCCGATATCGTGTCTTTGTGATGAGCGGATTCGGTGCTAGAGTAGGGGGGGGGGGCTCTCTTTCCTTAGGTTTTCGAGAATAATAATAAAAGAGGCTAGTCTATGTAGATAATCCTATAATAGGTGTAAATCGTCACCTGGTTATCAGTTTAACTCTTGCACTATACTAACCTTCACGCTCACTGGAGTGTATGGGTTGACTAATGAGAGTGCGGCCCCATCTGTCATTATCACCGTGGGCCGTTTACGAAGCGTACAGTCTAATCCATGATTAAATCACTACACTCACTGAAACATCCGTACCAATTAATGAACGCTTGACGCTTCGTGAAACCGGCACCCGAGTGTCGAAATTTAGTCCTGGCTTTAAGATATTTTCTTGAACATGTCTGTATTAGTATAAATATGATCGTGATATCATAGTGATGTTGTGCATCGTAAACGTTGCTTTTACATTGCAGAGCCAGATTATCTGCACCTTTGAGGCATTGGCACTTATCAACCCCTAGCTATGAAAGTAAGTGAACAGTTTCTCTGCGCTAATATGTGTATGCTACGCTTAAAACATTATGTAAGGCGTGTCGGCATAGCTGGCAAACGCGATACAGGATTAATATTATTTATGTCTATTTTGCTTTTATCATTGCTAATATTTGTTATTATTTTAATTGTTTTGTTATTGAGTAATTTATCTATCCTTACTTCCCTAAGTTGAGATAACTCTATTTATTCTATTCTTACTGTGTATTGAACTAATAAAACCAGTTTCCGTATCAGATCATTATAACTAAAATGCATCTGCACCTTCAATCCGATCCATCATGGCCTCTATCATGCCCATCCTCCCCAAGTAATCATATCAGATCATCCTTTATTTGTCCACCGCCATCCATCTCATCCAATCTATAGATCGGATCCTCCCTCTTATCCTCCATACTATCCAATCCCCTCCCAGCTCCATCTTCAGCCACATCCATACATCGAGCCAGCAGCTAAGCCATCCATCCGCTTTGTTCATAAGCCCATGCCCTCTGCGCATTAGTAATCTGTTCTCATTCTGTCTGTCCGTCTATCACCATCGTCTATTCGTTTATTATGGCATCATGAGTGTGCATCCATAGCCTACGCACTTGCGACGTTCACACGATCAATGATTTGACTCGAGCCATGTCTCGATTTGGCTCGCGGCCAAATTGGCTCGGGCGCTAAATTGAGCTCGGCGGTTCAACACGTACGCAAGTGACATACTCTCTGTCAAATTAAAAATTCAAATTAAAATAATTCTTCCTTGCAAGCAAATCTCACAGATAGGAACTTTGGTGCATAATCGCCGAGATTGCGTTGTTTACTATTTAAGTGTTTACTAATCGTTCTGCAATTCTAAATTACTCAATCCCTTTGAAAACGGGCATCCTGATAAATATTTTCGAATTTTACTATACTGTTTTAGGAAACTTTTATAACTGTTTGAATGTTATACTGTTATAAAAGTATACTTTTATACTGTTTACAACGCGATTCTATGTAATGTTCTACCTCTCCACCGGGTCCCACAGAGCTCCGCGAAAGAGGGTCTAAATATTTGGAGCCTGCTGGGCTGGTATCGACTTTTCGATGGGGCCAACTGGCTGGCCTAATTAGGACTCGGTAGCGCCCCCCAAAGAGACGTCCGTACTGTGAACGCTCGACTTGAGCCATAATTGGCACGGGCCTAATAGGTCGGCCAAAAACGTCAGGGAAAGCGCCCTTATATGTCCATAATGTCCAATGCTATATAACTTACTTGATCTGCCATTCTATCCATCTGTTCATGCTATCATCTATCTGTCCATCCATTCATCTGTCCATTCATTCATCTGTCCATCCGTTCATCTCTTCATCCATCCATATATACACCCATTGATTTATCCATCTGTTAACGATAATACCAACAAACAAAGATATTAGGTAATCAAATGTATGTGCATGTATATTAAACCATTTAACATTTTCTACTCACTTTGTTAACATACTCGCCAAAAGTAGATAATAGGAAACTGATACTCGCGCATCTATGTTCACATTTTGCATATAAGCATTTAGATGACTAGTCAGGCAGAACCATCTGAGAATGCAACAGAACTTTGCCAAATGCTAACCAATGTGTTTCTCAATATAGCTCGTTGGCAGGCAACATAACAAATGTTGTTGTTGTTATCGCTGCAGGCCGCCTATTGTCCGATCGACACCAGTCTGAGTTACGGACAGGCTAACAAGCTAATAGCAGAGCTGAAGCCTCGTCACCTGCTACTAGCCGATGCTTACACGCACCCTGTAGCCCGCAGGAACGACCTTCTCATCGAAGCCGTAAGCATGCACGCACGACGCACGCACGACACCCCGACATCGACGCAAGTGTCTGCGTCATGCATGCCGATATACTCGCACATGCACGCACGCACGCTATACACGCGCGCACGCACGCACGCACGTACGCTATACACGCAGACATACACGCACGCACGCACGTACGCTATAACCGCAGACATACACGCACGCTATACGTGCACACACGGACGCATGCTATACACGCACGCACGCACGCACGCACGTACGCTATACACGCATACAACACGCGACGCTATAGCTGCCACCGAGCCTGCTATACACGCACGCACGCACGCGCGTACGCTGTATATACGCGACATACACGCACGCTGTACACACGCCGAGTATGACAGCAATCAGGCTCGGGCTTCATTATTTACAAGCAGCCTTTAATTAATATCACCAGTGCGTGATATGTTAAAGACAAGCAGGTGGGGGCGGGTGGGGGGGGGAACACGTAAATTAAATATAAATGCGTTAAGTAAAGATACATGCATGCTTGTAATTCCAACAAATCAGACAAAGTCTAGCAATAATAAACGCGTGGTATAGATAAAGTTACAAGCAATAGAAACGAGAATTCCGAGGTAGCGCGCAGCACCCGCGTTTTCACACGCTGAGTTCTGAATTGGTGTGAAATATAACGTTCATGCTTGTACTTTCCATACAACAGCTTTAATTATTTGTAAGATTTGTCTGATTGGTTGGAAATTAACAAGAGCATGTACTTTACATACCACGCATTAATTAATTACGTGCAGTGCTTGTGAACTTTACAGTACACGCATTGTAAGCTAATTAAAGCATGCTTGTAAATAATTATAAGACGAACCTGATCTGCTGTAATGAAATAGTTAAGCGTCATGTTGAAATGGATACGAATATGAATTGGTATGACATGATGATTAGCGTCACTAGCCGTCCTTCGCCTATCTTTGACGGAGGCTTAATCCCCACGCTGAGTCTGATTGGTTGGAATTAACCGTGCGCATCGCTTGTAACTCTTACCATACCACGAGTTTCATTATTTAACTGTAAATTGATTAACTTTTTAACTGTATAAATTTAATTGATATAACTTTTTATACACCGCGCTATACACGCGCCTAAGTTACTACGCAGCGCGGCGGCGTTAGGAAACAACACCATATAATGACACGGTGTCCGTCGCGCTATACACACACGTATACACCGCGCTATATCAGCGCGCTATGACACGCATAAGACTAATACAACTGACGCTATAACCCATAGCACAACCGATACAACGACTAGCTATACACACGCACGCAACTAAGCGAGCTATACAACGCAACGCACAACGCGTAAGTCAACACAGGCGCACAAACGCTATAGACCAGGCACACTAGTAAGCACGCTAATACACGCCGCAAAACGCGTAATCTATAGTCATGCACGCAACAAAATAGCTATAGCCACGCGCGCTATACCAAGACGCGCTATACACGCGCTCTCTGCACGCTCTGCTATATCCGGACAAGAAAAGCTGCCTCGCTATTAATTAGCACGCCCGGACGATAGAGGACTTGACGCACTGCTAGAATCACGCCAATAAATACACCATCGCCAGTGGTGCGGCGGGACCCCATTGGCCACAAAATCGCTATATCACGCCCGCACAATACGCTATCACAAAGACTGTCACATTCACGCACACCCGCTATCTACCCGCTACGGCTATAGGGGCCCAGCGTCCACACCTACCCGGAGCGCCGTCCTGCGATAAACGCAGCCATAGATAAGTGGGTCACCGCAGCACCACAAACGCGCATATAATTACCACAGCGGCGGGCCTAACCACACCGGAACGCTATATCACGCTGTTAAGAACGCCATAACACGAACCGGGTACACACGCTATATTCCCACGCTATTACGGTATTCACTCCCCGCGCAACAAACGCTAATATGGTACTCGCGGCCACGCACCTATATAGACACAGCACGCTATACCACGAGCAACGCTATCATGCAACCAAAACGCTAATCCAAGCAGCAATAACAACGCAGCATATAGGACACGCACGCTATAGACATGCACGCACGAAACGCTATACAGCCGCTGGGTGACCTACCACGTTCACACTATACACGCACCGACTATACGGCAGGCACGCGCTATAAGTAACGCATCACTATAACACGAAATTCACGGCTATACATTGGGGCCGGAAATTTTCTTATGTGGATAGTTGGGATTGTTTTGGCCGGGGTGGTCACGCTAACATCCGACACCAACGCATTAACACGCACGCTATACACACGTAGCGCGATAAACGCCGGGAACGTACAGTCGCCGGCGCACAGACGCTATAGCCAAGATGTTCCTCTTCCCCGTTACGGATAGCGCCGCACGCTAGTGAAGAGGCGACGCAGCGCTATTAACTGAAGCCCCCACATAACAGCCTAATAACACGCGCCGTTATAGCACGCCAGCGGTACTATCCGCACAGGACCCGTATTACACGCATCGCTATACAGCACGCCTATACACGACAACGCACAAAACGCTTATAGCCACGTAGCAGTGCGGTTCAGAATCAAACCTCGTTAATAGACCACAACCGTTGTACGGTCTTAATATAACGCTGCAAGTCGCTATATGACACAGCAACATAAACGCTATCTTACAAAGAACAAACGCTTAAATCCTCACACGGCACGTAAATAGCCCGCACGCCTTCTGCACGCAAAGGGCTCTATCAAGCACCGCCGCTATTCACGCAACTATAAACACGCAATCGCAACAAAACGCTTATGACACCGCTCGACAAAGCAATGACACACGCTACTACACGAACGCAGCGCAACTCAGCTTACACGCAGCTATACACCGGCGCTGGCCCCCGCTATTACCGCAGCACACTGTACGCTATACACCACCGCTCACCTACACCGCAGGCGACCCCGGCGGAAGCTAACAACGGCCACGCAGAACCGACGCGCTATACCACGGCCCAGCCCCATCGCTATACACACACGCATGCACGCTATACACGCACGCTATACACGCACGCACGCACGCTATACACGCGTGCAAGTACGCTATACACGCACGCACAAACGCTATACACGCACGCTATACACGCGCGCACGCACGCTATGCACGCCGCTACGGCTGCACACGCGTACGGAGTGACATTCGCTATAGCTGGTGAGGGCGCATATGCGCACGCGTCATCGTTAATGGCTTTATAGATAATCGTAATGTTTTCACCTGCGGCGACACGCCACCACGGTCACGCTCGCTGTGCCCGCCATGCAGTTAGAGCGCCTCCCGAGAGATGGCCGAGAGGCGGGGAGGAGGAGGGGGGGGATCATGAAGGTCTGGCAGTCGGTGCGGATGGACAGGCAGTGTGACTCGTGGAGGAGGGTCACAAGAGACCAGCGGTGGGGCAACATGTTCTGCTTGCATCTATGACAAATACGACATACGCATATACGCTCTCCTATGACACTATTTGTCACAGGAAGATTCTTCCTATGCCAAATATTGGCGAGTCAACTTCGTTCTGCTTTACAGCTGAAATTTACTGCTTGCGTTCATAATAGCGCTCCTTAACTCCCATGATGCGCACAACACATACAACAATATTTGTCATAGGAAGAATTTTCATTTGACAAATAGTGACATAAGAGATCGTATTTGCTTATGTCGTATTTGTCATAGATGCTAGCAGAACACGCTGGGTGGTGCGTGGGCTGACGTAAGACGCGCAGGGGGCAGGAGGAGTGTGGTAACGAGAGACAGCTATCGGGGGCTGGGGGAGGGGGTCACAGAAGATAGCCAACCCGGGGTTGGGGGAGGGGGATGGGAAGTGGGAGACAGTAGGGGGGAGTCACACGAGAAAGGCAGTGGGTGAAAATCAAGAGAAACAGCCAGGGGGGGTTGGGGGGAAGGAGGACACAGGTCACAGCACGGTGTTATGTTAATAATATCGCGTGGCCATAAGCATATATCTTGCTCCTCATTCGATATGATCTGGAATCAATTCTTACCTGACGCACACACACACACACCGATCATTGGGGGGTAATTAAAACCAAGATGACATATTGCGAGGCACATGCATGTGTGTTCTCGGCAGATGCGAAATGCGGAAGGAATGCATAAACAACCTTTCATTGACTCCGGCATAAGTACGCATATTTTGGATGCCGTGATACGGCTATAAATAGTATAATCACTACATCTTGACGCAGTGACCTGAACCATATTTGCTGTTGTTGTTTTTGTTGTTGTTGTTGTTGTTGTTGATGTTATTGTTGTTATTGTTGTTGATGTTCTTATTGTTGTTGAAGTTGTTGCTGTTAATGTTCTTGTTGTTCTTAGTAGTGTTCTTGTTTTTATTGTTGTTGTTGTTGTTATTGTTGTTGCAGGAAGCTTCTACAATCACCTACACGAAAGGTCAGGTGGTGAAGACACCTCTGAGAAGGGAATTTGAGTACATGGAGATCGACACAGAGGTAATGTGTTTTCCGCTTGCGTCATTGGCTTGCATCGGGATACGTCTTCTAATATGTCAGCGTATTAGATGGTGTTGTTGGCCGCGTGATTGAGTGCGTGGTTGCCATGGTAACGTTCCGATCGCGTAAAGTCATAAAACATAGAACACTGATGCGCTGTGAGAGAGATAAAATAATGACTATTATGATTCGCAATCTTGCCTCTCCGCCCTTCCCCCACACACACCACTCACTTTCACGCACGCACGCATAAGTCCCCGCACGCACACATCCACGCAAGTTCTTACACACACACATCCCGCAAGTTCTTACACACGCACGGCACGCACCCAGCAGCCGCAAGTTCTTACACACGCCACGCCACGCACGCACCAACATACCACTGGCAAGTTATTACACACTACCGCATCGTACACGACGCACACATCCACGCAAGTTCTTACACACACACCTCGCAATCCACTGCAAGTTCTTACATCACGCACGCACGCACAGCCACGCACACATCATGCAAGGTTATTTACACCAGCGCACGCAACACACCGACACCACATCCACGCAACGTTCTTACATCACGCACTGCATGCCACATCCATGGCAAGTTATTACACCGCAGCACGCACGCACAGCGTCCATTCACGCAAGTTCTTACACCACGCACGCACAGCACGTCACACTCCATGCAAGTTCTTACACACGCCACCGGCAGCAGCCCCTCGCACGCACACATCCACGCAAGTTCTTCACGCCACCAAAGCACATCCACGCAAGTTTTTTACACCGCACGCACACACGCACACATCAGCGCAAGTTCTTACACACACCACATCCCACGCAGTTCTTACATCACGCCCACGCAGCCGCACGCACCGCCACATCGCATGCAAGTTATTATCACACCAGCACTCTGCACACACGCAACACCTCTCCACCAAGTTCTTACACCACGCACGCACGCACGCACACAATCCACACGGCAAGTTCTTTACACACGCATCCACGCACGCATCGCACGCACACATCACCAAGTTCTTACTACACCACGCACCACGCCACGCACACATCCACGCCAATGTTCTTACACACGCATTCGCACCGCAACGCACGCAGCGCACGCACGAGTCGCTCACAGCACGCACGCACGCACGCACACATCTATCTATGCCATCTATGTGACATTTATATGTAGCACATGCACACAATTAATGATGTGCTGGGGTGGGTCCCCGGGTGTTGTTTGTGGGCTGATGGGGACAGCTGCATGCGAGTGTAGTAATTTGCTGAGAAGGTCATGATCACAAATACTGCTCAGCGTGGATGTGGATGGGGACGTCAGCGGGGGGGGGGGGCTGATGGGTTTTTATGCAACTGGGGGTCAGGAGGTGGAGATGCGGGCTTTCCTATCAGCATTCCATTACTAAAATAATTGCACATCTCTCTCTGACTCGTGACGTCACGTGACGCGGTGTGCATCGATATATGCAATCCTGACAGAGACATCGTAAATAGTCGCGACTCTGTAGGTCTAAAAATGTCCATTTTTCATGATACGACACTAGCAGAAAGATTATGACATTTTAATTGTCGCAACTATTTTCAACTCTCTACTTTTAACTAATTAACTTCTATTTTATAATTTAGTATATTTACTTACATTTTGTGAAAAAGTGGAAATATTTTTTACTATTTATGGTGACGTAATCACTTTAAGAGCTGGTCGTCGTCTATCGGAACAGGTCTAGAAGTGTGACTTAGAAAGAGTTATCACTGCGAGTTTGAATCAAGAAGCTATTTATAGCGCGCAATTAACGGACCGATGTGCATGCCAGCGCGCTTGTCGGTTTCTATTTGGCGTCGTGCATTCAGTAATTGGATTAGTTACAAGCTGACGGACGATGAAGAATTTGTTGGGCCGCTGTTTCTCTCATTAATGCAGATTCGTTCATCTTCTTTCAGTTGGCATCCAAATTAGAGCCGGTGGAGATTAGGCCAGGCGTTGCCATAGCAACGCTTACCGGTAACATGTCCATCAAGGACAACAAAATTATTTTGAAGGTAAGTAGATACAGCCGCACGCGCCCGCTGCTGTATTTTCCGTGAGACTCGACTTTGAGCCGTTATTAGCCGTTTCGAGTCGACTTCGCCGTTGGCGCGCGCCGAATGTGCACTGTGTGTGGGCTGGCATGCGAAAAATATCTATCATGTTTGATTTTTCTGGATTAGCATCGTTGGCTCGCGCCGAATGCGCACTGTGTGTGGGCTGGCGTGCGAAAAATATCTATCGTGTTAGATTTTTCTGGATTAGCATCGTTGGCTCGCGCTGAATGCGCACTGTGTGTGGGCTGGCGCGCGAAAAATATCTATCGTGTTAGATTTTTCTGGATTAGCATCGTTGGCTCGCACTGAATGCGCACTGTGTGTGGGCTGGCGCGCGAAAAATATCTATCGTGTTAGATTTTTCTGGATTAGCATCGTTGGCTCGCACTGAATGCGCACTGTGTGCGGGCTGGCGCGCGAAAAATATCTATCGTGTTAGAT